TATTATTATTATTATTATTATTATTATTATTATTATTATTATTATTATTATTAGTTCTTGATCTAAATCTAGACCTAGATCTAGATCTAGATCTATATTTGTGAACGTTCGTCACTTTGGCCACCTAAAACTTCCCAACCACTTAACTTTCGAATTTGAAAAATTTAACGGTGGTTCAGAATTATTTAAAGGGTGCAGAGTTATATTAAGGAGTCTGATGTCTCTGTAGTTTAATTTTCAGTTTTTCATTAGTTTCGTTTAGATCTAGATCTAGTCTTGGGAAAGTCCGTCTTCTAAGATGCCATTGTAAAAAAATGAGACTTCCGTTCACATGCAGTGCGCACTAAACCCACAGTGACATGACGATCAATTCTTTTGATTCCGTTCATATGAATCGGAAAAGTAAAGGGAAGAGTCCGTTCACCGAACCGGTGTCTGTGGTGTAGCCTTTGGGCGCTTCAGTTCGATTCCCGTATGGGGAGAAATTTATATCGAGTATCTCGGTCTTTCTGCTGGGATGTTGTATGCCTCACAGTAAGGGCTGGGTCTAACAGGCAGTGTCCAAAGCCCACCTTCAAAAAAAATCCCATACAGTGTGTTAATGAGGTCAAAAAACACCTGCTTAAAAAAGTAGTAGTGGAAGTTGTTCTTTTAGTGAGAAAAGAGCATTAACACGATAACAGTCATATCATTACTTGAAAAAGCAAGGTAGACCAATAGAAACAACGGCAGAGAGCTACTAGAAGCACTCTCCAACCAGGAAAATCCCAATGAAATCATACCTGTAACAGTTACCCTGTGGAACAAATCAACAAAACATTCTAAAACGAAATGTTATTTTCTGTAATTGTAGGATCCGATAACCACTATAAGAAAGATACGTTATCTGGGGACCTCAGTCATAATGACGTACCTTGGCTTGTGACAAGAACGGCGGGTGTTCTATTTCTATCCCCTCGGGGTTGAAGGTGGGAGTTTGAGCCAGGAAGGTGCTCTTTGTCTCATAAGCACCAGGACCAGGTATCGCCTGAAAGGAACGCAAAAAAAAGGATACCCTTTTGTATAATGATTTTCCGTGCAAACACGTAACATGTTGGGATACGTCAACTAAATGCTTTCGCAAATAAAAATACAAAACGTTTAAAAGCGGGAGAAAAAAACATGAAGAAAGAAAAATATTTAGTTTAAAAGCTCCGAAGTTTTATAAAAAGAAATGTCAAATTTCAGTTTTGAGAATTCTGTTCCTTCACAAGAGTACGCATTTCAATTGAGAGAGAGGGAGAAAGAGAGAGAGAGAGAGAGAGAGAGAGAGAGAGAGAGAGAGAGAGAGAGAGAGCATTCTTTGAAAAAAACCCCATCAAAAAACGAAAAAAAGATTTGTACAAAGCACGTGATATTAAGAAACGAAATTAACTACATAGGCTTAAAGAAAGTAGCACATTATGACTTTTCAAATATTGATTTTCAGCTTTGTTTGATTCTAAAATGTGAAAACTTTCCTGTTCCATTATTAATTTGAGTTTTGCGAAATGGTTATAAGAACAAACATTAAAAAAAACAATTTACAGAAAAAACCCCACTCACATTTGTTAATGGTATCTTTAATCAAAACCTAAAAACCATGGTCTCAACTAGAAGCTTATTATATTTGAGATTAATCTACGAGAACTATCAGAGAGCAACATAACACTGAACATCACATACATTCCACATGCCCTCTACCCCCC